GCGACGGCACTCACTCTAGCCCGGGCAAAAGAGTGAGACCCTGTCTCAAAAAAATAAATAAATAAATAAATGCCTATTTGTGTGTTCCCTGAATCCACCGATTAGTGGCCATTTGGACAGTGGCGGGCTGCAGAGTGTGTCAGAGTCTCCAAGGTGAGTGCTCACCTTTGTGACTTGTGAGCACAGGTTTAATGATATAAATTTATGTTCACAAAAAAAATAAACGCTTTTGCTGTACAAACTAAAGAAAGCTAATGCTCTGGAAAATTTCCTGGGCTGCTGGGATTGAGTTAAAAAAAGAAAAAAGAAACAAGATCACCAGTCTCCATCCCCTGCCTGCAGGCTGGCTGCTCGGACGGGAGCGTCCGGCTACACGGGCTGAGCTCAGAGCACCCCCTCCTGCAGTGGGACAGCAGCACAGACGGCCGTGCGGTCACCGGCCTGCAGTGGTCCCCAACGAGGCCTGCCGTGTTCCTGGTCCAGGACAACATGTCCAACATCTATGTCTGGGACCTTCTTGCCAGCGACCTGGGCCCGGTGGCCAGACAGCCCATCTCCCCAGACAGGTGCGTGACAAAGCTCAGGCGAGTGCCAACGGTAACTTCGGCAGAGGCGTCACTGATACTCTTTCTTCTTATTTAATTTACACGTAAGGTCGCTACACTTTAAGACATGGCTTTTTATATTTCCATTTAAATAATATATTTATACATTTAAATAATATTACAAAACACTTAATTTTTAGAGCAGTTTTAGGTTCACAGCAAAATCAAGTGGCAGGTCCCAAGGTTTCTCACATACCCCATTATCAACACCGCCCAGAGGGTGCATTTGTCACAACTCATCACCACCCAGAGCCCGTGGTCGCCGTAGGGGCTGCTCTCGGTGTTTTTATATTTAGCCCAAAATCATCTGTTGGGTTGAAGGGCTCACTGTGCATATTTCCCCGCCGTGATCGTTCTGTGGTGAGACGACTGCCGGAGAGTCTGAGTCACGTCCACTGGCCGGTCCACGCTCGGCCCGCTCACCCCCATCCAGTCCCTGCCGTGGCCGACCTGGGCTCACGTGGATCCGCACGGGAGCGGCAGCCGTGTGCAATCGTTGGCTTCCCTGTTCCACAACGCAGAAGCGTTTGGGAAGCTTCGTCATGAAGTCCTCTGTCTTCACCCCAGTGTCTGTTCACCTGTGTTTTCCGGAGATTTTGCATTTCCTGTCAGTACATTCTCTGACTGTGCGGGCTTGTGATCTGGGGACAGGAGGGGTGTAGCTGCAACCCCACAGCCCTCTGTGATGGTAGAGGACGAGGAGGGTGACCAGAGCAGGTGCTGGTCGACCGGAGCGCCAGGGTGTCCCAGGGAGATCTGAGAGGCTGCATTTGTTTGGTTTGAGTCCTGGGAAGACTCTCGTTATTCTAATTATTAAAAAATACACAAAAAACCCAGACTGATTCACATATACACAGATAACGCCCCACAGTTTGCTATTCCCAAAGTATGCAGTGCCCTCCTGAGTGAATGCCCATTAATTGAGTGCCAGCTATGTGCCGGCACCATGTGCCTGGGGCAGCACAGTGAGCTTGGGGCCTCTCGCTCCCTGGGGAGCAGGACAGATACTGACAGAGCAGCGAGCAGCTGTGCACATGTCTGGGGCGTGTGCTGGGAGGACGCAGGCCAGAGGGATCCACGGTGGGGGCAGGACGGGTGGGCCTGCTGAGGGTGTTCAGGCACAGGCCTGAGGTCGGGGTTTGGGGGGCGGGGTGCACCAGGCCTGTCTGGGGTGCTCCAGGGCAGCGGAGCAAGGATCCAGTCTGACAGGTCCAAGCGCAGCTCCAGAGCAGGTGTTTGCCTGTCAGCCGCCGGGACCCTGCTCTGTCCTGACCCAGTACCCAGCGGCTCCCCTGCCTGGGAGCCCCTCCCTCCTGCCCCTCAGTGGTGCCGCCGGGCGGGGTGCTGGGACCGCTGGGCAACAGCGTCCGCCTCAGGGGCCCTAGGAAGGAGGCACCTGGACTGGTGCGGAGCCCTCCCTGCGCACTCCCTGTCCAGGGGGTGGCCGCGCAGAGGGCACCAACCTTCAGCTCGAGGAAACTTGGGGCAAGAAGAAACCGATGGTTTAGAAGGAAGGAGTTTGGGTTAGGTGCACTCAGGGCCTCACACTCTCAACTGAAGTTAAAGTTCTCAGCGCCCTGCTCCGCGTGGTGGAGAAGTGGCTGGCGCTCTGGAGCGGGCAGTGCCCCCGGGCTGGGGGGCACCCATGGGGCGGCCGCAGCGGGAATGGACTCCAGCTCTGTCTCCACCCCTCTGCTTGGATTCTGTCCAACTCACAAATCTAAAGGATATTTTAAAAATTGACCAGCAATGGTACTAGCTGGAGCTCGTGCGTCTGTTTCAGGTGTTTTAAAACACCAAGAGATGGTTTAGCAGTGAACAGCGCAGTGTTCACCCTGCTCAGTCTGCTGGCCCTGGGGCCAGGGGAGCCGCTGGCGTCTGTCGTCCGCTGCGCCGTTCCTGAGTTTGTGTTTCACACGCGTCATGGACAGCAGGGCTGGGGTGTGAAGCGACTGGTGAAAGTCATGGTGACTTGCGGTTTTTTGGGGTCTGCTCCCTCAGAGCCTCATGAAGTCCCCTCCCCTTCCCCCCCAGTAATGCTGTGGGTGGGTTCTCCTGACCAAGAGCCTGGGGCATGAGTGAGCGGCTCAGAGGGACATCGCAGGCCTCGCCCCACACGCCCAGATGGGCCCTGAGGCTGCTTCGGCCTGGCTCGGCCCCCTGTGGGTGCAGCCCACGTCTGGAGCCTGGGAGTCTCGGTCTTTGGGCCGTAGGGACAGGGTTTACAGGACATAGGTAGCAGTCAGGCCCTTGTCGGGGCCACCACAGAGGGCCTGTGCCTGTGGTGGCACCTGGCTCCGGCTACCCCATCACTGTCAGACAGGACGGGAAAGGGTGTGTTGAGGTGGCACTGGGTCGAATGTGTCCTCGCCACATGGTGATTGGATCTGATGGGTCCCAGGCAGCTGTGCCAGGAGGTCTCTGGGATGATGGCTCAGCCAAGTCTCAGCAGAGTGGCCAGACCAGCGGGCGGGAGGCTCAGGGCATGGTGGCGGGGAGGCCCTTGAGGACACAGGAGGGTGTGGGGGGAGGGGAGGCCCTGAGGGCACAGGAGGGTGTGGGGGGAGGGGAGGCCCCAAGGGCACGAAGTCCCTGAGGGCGGACTTAAGAGGTGGCTTCTAAGTCTGTCCACCGTGGAAGGTGAGGCCAGGAACGGCCAGGCTTGGAGGTCGTGGTTGTCAGAGAAGTCGGGGACAGCTTCCCCGTGGGGACGGTGGTGGACACAGGATACTCGGGAGCTGGTGAGGGTGTGGGGATAGCCGGCCCCCGTCCCGGGCTTGGCAGCTGGTGGAGTCGCTGTCCTTGCGGAGGCTCGTAAGTTATCGTGAGATCTGGGGAGCAGCGGAGAGACCGCCAGGGACCCCCAGGTTGAGACCCCCATGCTGGGGACCCCACTGCCAGGCTTGGGGTCTCTGGGGTGGGGCTGCCTGGACTGCTGGCCGCCCCCCATTCTCCCAGGGACCTGCCTAGAACCCTGGACGTTTCATTTTGCCTATTGATGTTTTTAGAATCTCTCTTCTACTTCATTCCTCCCCGGGCAGAGAGATCTTAGAGACTCAGAAATAACCGCGTCCCGCGTGTACCCTGCCGCTTACACCCCTCTCCCCACAGGCTGGTGGCTATGGCCGTCGGGGGAGAGCCGGACAAGGCCAGTGGCAGCGTGCTGGCCCTGGTGCTGGCCCGGGCCTCTGGTGCCATCGACGTCCAGTTCCTGCAGAGGCAGTGGGCAGCCCCGGAGGCAGATGAGCGCGGCAGGCTGCGCCTGCTTTTGCAGGAAGCACTGTGGACAGAGGGAAGACGGCGCGAGTGACAGGTGTTGCGGGATCGTGTAATGACCCCGACTTCAGAGACGTAAGGTGGATAATTTCACATCTGTGTGCACGTACATTTATGTATATAGGCTGTGTATATTCTGTACATAATTTATTTTACAAGAATGTTACTTTGGAATTCCCAGTAAATAAATCACTATTTCTGAACAGAAACAAATGAACATTTTAGTGGATGCTACACGTCAAAGAAACAGTCGTGTCCAGGATGCTCTCTGAGTATCTCTAGTTATTTTTAGAACATTTAAAATATTGCCACATTCGTTACTAGATTCGTAACAGTCTGCCATGAAGTTGTATTTTAATGGACTGTTTTTTAGTCATGCATGAAGTGATATATACACACGTCTAAATTAAAAGGAATTACTCCACTGAAATGACCTCTGCTGACAGTATTTTCTTAAAACTTTTCTTGGGCGTCTTCTTTTGGCATTATTTGAATGTCTCTTACAGGGTCGAGTCAGACTCATCTGCCTTATGCTGTAGTATTAAAAATTGTCTTTGTATAGGACTAATACAAGGAAATAAATTCTCTTGAAGTTTGTGACTCAAATATAGGAACAGAAGGCGTCTTAGTTCGTCTGTGCTGCTGTAACACAATGACTTGGACCAGGCACTTACAAAGAACAGAAGTGTGTTTCCCCTGCTCTCGCGGCTGGGAAGCCCAAGATCAAGGCCCTGCTGTCTCGTGTGGCTGCTCTCTGCTTCCCAGGTGGTGCCTCGTTCCCGCGTCCTCTCGCAGAGAAGCACGCGGGTGTCGGGCTCTTTCCTAACAGCGCTGCCTCTCAAAGGTGTCATCATTTGGGGTTTAAGTTCCAGTGAATTTTGGAGGGACACACATATCAGACCATAGCAGAAGGATAGGAGGATTCTGGGGGTGAGACCAGGGAAAAGCCAGGCCATGTCGCGTAGGCCCACGCCTGTGCCTCTGTCTTCTGCGCCTTTCCAGAACATTCCCAGCACAGTTGGCTGTCGATGGACCCGTGAGGTCCAGCAGGACAGGAGTGTTTAAACCTCACTGGGTCACAGAACAGCCTCCACTTGGGCGGCCAGCACTGCAGCGGCAGGCCTGGGGAGCCTACCCAGGGCTCCCCGATGCCGTGGACACGCCAGCTCCACGACGTGGGGGCCGTGCAGGACTTCCTGGAGGGGCCTGTATTGTGCCACCGGGCAGCCCGTCAGCCTTTGTTTCCTTTTTCGTTAAGTCGATTTGAAACTGTCCACTCCCTGTATCCCCATTACAGAAACAATGGAGATGGGATAACATGGGCCTTCCCCTCCCTATCCAAGTCCCATCCTGGGAGGCTCAGTCGCGTGTGTTCAGCCCTCTGGGCGCACAGATGGCGTGCAAACGTGCTGGCTTGTGGAGATGTTGTGGAGGACGGGGGTGTCAGTGGTTGACACCCAACAGCCCATGCGTCCCTCCTCTGTCCCACGAAAGCAGGACCACTGAGGCACACAAGTAGACGCGTAGCGGGTCCCTGTCACACGGGCGGCTGGGCTCCAGCTGCTCCTCTGCGTCCTCCCCACGCTCAGGGTCACAGCCACCCCAGCACAGGTGAGGCAGGTGCCCCTGCCCCCGGGGGGCCTCACCTGCAACCTGCTTCATGTTGGGTCCCGAGTATCTAAAGATGATGTTATCTGCAAATTTTTAGCTTTCAGATTCCACCTTATTTAAAATTAGAATTAATCTTGTCCCTCTTTTTCTTTGGACCTCTGGTTTGTGTTGGTGTCTGTGGGTTCTCGGACGTGACCCCGGCAGTCCCCCAGGCGTGTCCCTTCTCCCTCTCACTTGCCTTATGGGCTCCCTGCAGGGCGCTGGGCTTGGGCCCCGGTCTTCGAGGCTGCTCCACAGCCCGCTCAAGACGGGTGTCGTGCTGCAGTCCTGAGCTGCACGCGCAGGCGCAGCGATGCTTCCAGGACAACTCTGCACTGAGGTCATCCGGCAGCTCGATGACGTCCTCCTCCCAGCCGCCACCCCAGGGCCTCCGCTCACCGCTGCTGGGAGACCGGCGGGTTCTGCTGCGGGGACGAGCGGGTGAGGAGGCCCAGCTCTTCACGGTGCTGGATCTGAAACGCTGCCCTGGAGCTGCCCCACGGCCTGTGTCGACATGGACGTGTGTGACTGCTCCGGGCTTCTTCCTGTCGCGTGTTGGCCTGTGCGGCCACCGCTCTGCAGTGTGTCACACGTTTCCTTCCTTCTCGGCGCCCTACCCGGCAGGTGTGTGTGAGCCACACAGAAATGTGAAGCCTGCAAAGAAAGAAAAGGCCAGTGATCTCCTTCAGCCTGGTCTCCAGGGAAGACTCGCTGCGCCGCCTCCCCCGGCAGCCGGCCCGATGCTTCCCCTGGGCTTGGTGACACCTGCAGGCGTCTGCAGAGAGGAAACAAGTAGGCAACAGGATGGGGCGGTCGCAGCCTCTAGTTAAAGAAAAACACATTGCATTGCAGATTAGGGAAACGGGCCCAGAGAGGAGAGAGCAAACAGCATGAAAGGCCGTTCTCCCTGCGTCTCCGTCCACCGGCGAGGCGGGCCAGGCCGTGCCCTTTCCGCAGAGCGTCCCCACAGGGTGTCGCTGCACGCGCTCTGGAGACAGCCAGCGCTGCCACACAAAGACAGCGTTTTCTTCTAAGGGCAGACAATGGAAATGTAATTTTCTCTTTTTTTGTCATGTTGTTATTTAGAATCACTTTCTTTCAGTACTTGTCATGAGTATAAATAAAGCATTTCTTTTTTCATGTGTGTCTGACTTGTGTAATTATTGTGCTCTGTCTGCTTCAGTGGACTGAAAGCTCTTTTATTTATTTATTATTTTTTTTGAGACAAGATCTCACTCTGTCGCCCGAGCTGGAGAGCAGTGGCGCGATCACAGCTCCCTGCAGCCGCCAACGCCCAGGCTCCAGCTACCCTCCTGCCTCGGCCTCGCGGGTAGCTGGGAGCACAGGCGCCCACTGCCCTCGGCCACTGAGGGTTTTTTTTTAACTTCACTTTAAAGATGTCATCTGCTGTCATCCAAGTTTCTGAGAAGTCCCCAGTGCTGTGACATTTGTTCCTGTGTACGTGACATTGCTTTTCTTCTGGCTACTTCTAGGAGTTTCTCTGTGTTTTGTTACCAGCAGTTTGAATGTGACACGTGGTTTCATTTTTGTTTCTCCTGCTTTTCTTCTTTATGCTGCTTGGCGCTCTCTGAGCTTCTTGGGTCTGTGGGTTGGGATCTGCCATTAATTTTGGACAATTCTCAGCCATTATTTCCTAAAACATTTCTTCTTCCCTGTTGTCTCTCTTCTGGGATCCTGACAATGCCCATGTCAGCCCGTTGGACACGTCTCACAGCCCTTGGACAACCCGCTCTTGTCCTTCTTTCTGTTTCCATCCGGGTCATTTCTGTTGTGCCGTCTTCCAGGTCACGGATGCTTTGGATTCTCTCCTTGGCTGTGTGGTGTCTGCGGGTTGGGGTTGGGGTTGGGGTCAGGGTCAGGATCAGGGTTTAGAGTTAGGGTTGGGGTTGGGGCTGGGGTTAGGGTTTAGGGTTGGGGTTAGGGTTAATGTCAGGGTTAAGGTTGGGGGCCCACTGAGGCCAGCCTCCCCTCGCTTGCTGTGTCTCATTTCTAGCAGCCACATTGAATCCTTCTCTGTGTAGTTCTCACCTGTCTGCTGAAATCGCCCATCTGACCCTGCCGTCGTCCACCTTTTCCGTGGCAGCCGTCAAGGTCTCGACTGCGGTCATTTCAATCCCTGTCGGTCGGTTCTGTCATCTGTGTCCTGTCTGCCTTGCTCTGATGGTTATTTTGCCTCCTGGGAGTATCTTGCTGTATTTTTTCTTGTCTCTGTGCTGAGAGCTGGACCTCTCGTATGGGACGGTGGGCATGGAGGCAGCTGGCTGTGCAGTTGCTCGTGCGGGGCATTTCCTGGGAGGTGAGGGGCTCGGGCTTGACGACTTCGAGGCAGGGGCACTGGGGCAGGAGTCCGTGCTGAGCGGGTGGTACATGTTTTAACAAGCCACGGGAGGAGCCATGAATACCTCTGGGAAATATGCACTGCACACTTGAGCTTCACGCCCTTCGTGGGTCTGTGCTCAGAGCACGCCACCCTCTGGTGTCAGCAGGTGCAGCCGGGACGGGAAGGCCCTCTCTGCGCCTGCTCCGTGCGCTCAGCCCCACCTGTGCTCTGTCGGGGCAGAGCGTGGTCTGGACCACGAGACCGGCTTGTTCAGTCCTTAGGGAAAGCCTGGTGGCCGCTGGCAGGGGAGGCGTGTAACGGGCGTGTCTGCCCCCGCGGTCGGGGCTGGAGCCGAGGGTTGCTCTGGGCCCTTGGCCAAGTGGGGCCATCCAGGCAGCGGGCGCTGAGGGTGTTCAGTCCACACCCTTGGACAGCAGGGCGCTGAGGAGGCCGGCGGCCCGAGTCTGGGCGGAGACGGGCGCAGAAGGGCCTCCGCGGGGAAGCGACGTGCCTGGTGGCCCAGGGCGCGGCACAGGCACGCACAGAAGAGGCCCTTCCAGGCCCAGAGCCCCTGACCTTCCTGTCACCCCCTGCGGAACAGAAGCCTTCACCTGTGCCTGGAGCTCAGGACATGGGAACCCTGTGGCTCCATGAATTAGTATTAAACGTGTTTTGGGTCAGGATCTGTCTTAGGAGTTTTACAGAGCTTTGCCCTGAAGG